TACCCAACACTGCTTAAAAGTATATGAAAATACCAAAATACCTTAATCATATTGAAGAATTAACTAATTTGCAGACACTACGCACCAAAATAACTTGCTCTGTGTAATACATAGAAATTAAAACTTACTGTTCTGCCATATTTACTAAGCAAATGAGTACATTTCACTCAGCGCTAACTACCTTATCCTAATATGACTTCCAATATACTTCAGCATAATTTAAATATGTGAAAAAAAGAGAACTCATTTTTCTGGTATACAATTTCAGTTGTAAGTTTGCATTAGTACAGAGTCCTTTGTACCTATTCTTTTATATTTTTTGTTTTAAGTATAGTTTTTTTCCTTGCATTGTACAACAGCTTCTAGTGTTTTTAGAATGCCTGGAGTGAAAAATACAGTAGAAAACAGCTTTTTGGCAGAATGTCCTCTGCAGTGTTTGGAATTAACATTGGCTAGATACCCTGTTTCAAGTATTTCTTATGCCCTTAGGCATAAGCAAAGGAGGGTATACTATCTGTTTTCAATACAGACAACAATATCTGTGTCACTAAACAGAAAAGCAAAAGTGACGAATTTTTAGTACCACTAGACACTTATATAGTGTTACTTCCACTGTGGGAGAAACTGGAAAGTTACTTTAAGTAATTTCACAAATTGCAGGTTTATTTACAAAAAAAAAAAAGGCTTAAATATAATTTTTTTAAAGTACTTTTACACAACTTTTCTTGGTGAAATGGTAAGTTTTATTTTAGCACCAATAAACATCTGGTTTTCTGGCAGCTGTACTGTTCAGTGTTTTTACATCTCTGCATGACATTGTTCAAGGCCCTTCTCATTGGTGTATTTTTTACTTTATTTGGACCAAAAGATGTAAAATACACTGACACAAATCTAGTTTGGCTGACAAACTAATGCATTCCTCCACAACTTTTTTTAAATATCATTTTGTTTATTAAGAGTTTATCGTATATTACTGTGAGAAACACTTTAGCCAATAACAGGGATCAGGCAAGGATCTCAGTGAAGTAGCGATTTTATTCATGATTGCAATGGTGGGTGTCCCACAGGCAGAAGCGCACCTACTAGTAACACAGTGCAGTTTATATACTTTATTTCTCGATGACTGGGACCCTCCCCTGTTCCCCATTGACTGGATAATCCAGGTAATCCAGGTTCACATACTATCTGATGCTTCACAGACAACACATGGCCTTCAGTTGCTGGCCTGTTAATTTTCAAATTTCTTTTGACTTTTTTTTCTGTTCAAAATGGTAATGTTTCTTCGCTTACCTGACTTGACACCGTGATTTTCGCCTAATTGCTCTAAGGAGTCTGGTTGTCTGCATTTTACAAGGTCACCTGCTAAGCTTTCTTATCACTGTAAGCATATCTCAATACCAAGTTCCTTACCTTTAAACAATGTAACTGAAAAAACATTTTTATTCCCACATTACCAACATTTTACACAGATATATATTGGGCATGTTCACTGTTACACTGAAATCGTCTATGTAATTTTCATATATTTATGAATTAAGATAGTATCATTCAATGATTTAATAGGCAGACAGCATTTTAGTCACTGACCTAGGCTGTTGCCTTAATTTAGGATGAACATATTTTGCCAATGTTGTAGAATATACAGATCTCTTAATAATTATACACGTTCTACTCCTATGAAGATCTTTATTTCACGTGTATAATACTAACCTTTCCTGGAAATAGACTATTTCCTGCCAGCCTCAAAGACGGAAAAAATATAGAGGTAAACCTTACTCATCGGAAAATCTATTTAAGTCGTCTGCGGTCCAGGGGCGCACAGACTACGAGATCACCCCCCAGCCCCTTTTCCTCACAGCGTTGCCCCCCCTAAGGACCTGGAAGTCATTTTGTGCTTAAGGGCGGGGGCTGCGCGCAGGTGACGTCTCCTGTCGCTTCAGCTCGGCCGCCATTTGAGGGTGCGCAGAGTTTTGCGCAGCTCTATTTGCTGCCCTGAGAAATACTGCGAAACAAAAGCGTAATCTTTCATTCGCTCGCCCCAAAATGGCTGGAGTCGCGAGAAATCGTAAGGGTTGACGAACACGATTCGGCAGATGAATAATGAGGGTATAACGACTGAAACCAGTGCCATTGTCCCTCAGCAAGGGGAGATCTCAGCCTTGAGCAGCGACTGCTGCTATCTACGCGGAGGGGTGGCTGTAGTCGCTAATAACCTTAAGCATGAGCGAAAAGCACTTGAAAAAGTCGTGCTCTGAAACTCGAATGTGAAAGAGAAAGAGGAGATACTACGCAGTCAGGATTTCCTCTGCCGCCCTACTCGAAACTACGCCTGGTGCGGGAGAGCGTGTTGCTAAGCCGGCACCGCCCTTCCCCCCTTCTCCTCCTCCCAATGCTGAACCTGGCCCCGCTGGTGTAGATGAGGCATCCCCGGCGCGCTTGGGTGCGTTATACCTTCACCTCTTCCTTTTCCTCCGTACTTTTTCCTGCCTGCGCCTTCAAGGTAGGCGCCCCAACCCACTGTCCTCCGGCATCGGGCCCTCCCCCCGTGCCCAAGCCCGGGCTCTCTGGGGAGCGGGCAGGGCTGGCCTTCGGGCGGGCGGCCGGGCTGGGCCGGATGTGGAGAGCTCGCAGCAAGTGGGGCATGAGCCCGGCCTTGCTCGTGAGGAGAAAGGGAATCCCGACACTGCCTTTTTGCTTTGCAGAGCGGAGACTCCTCTTTATTTTCCAAGTGTGATTTAAATTGACGTAGTTAGAAAATCTGCATGAACTCCCTAGGGTAAAGCCAATTTTATTTTTGTTGGTAGTTTGATTTTTGTGTGTGCGCGTTTTTTTGATCCTTTCTTTCTTTTTTCCTTTTTATTAGGAGGACTGGGGTGCTAAACTGCTCCATTATTAAATGGAAATTTGCATGGTCACTACTACTTTATACCTATAGTTTATGACTTAAGCCTAATCCAGTAACAAGAAATGTGAAAGTTACTGTGGGATTTCCCTGTATTCCCTGGATATCTCCTACAATCTCGTACTCATTCTTTTCCAGGAAATACTTTAAAGTTACGGAGCATGCTCTGAAGCATTTAACATGGAAAAATGCTAGATTAGACGGATTCAAAATGCAGCTAACACTATGGTTTCACCATCTCTACCTCATCAAACTAAACAAAGTGGAGAAAGCACTAAATATAGCTATAGTACCTGCTGTAGTAAAGTAACTGCCTACTCTCCATCTCTTGTGTAGTGGCTTCCACACGAGCTCATCTTGTGGAAGAAACAAAGAGCATTTCCCAAATAACCACACCCACTGATGTTATATATCCTGTTTTTGTTGCTGTAGAGGTTATTGTGAAATGTTAAACAAATGCTGTCTGAAGTGATAGGTTCACTGCAGACGAAGTGTAGAGTATGAAATGGTTCCCAAATTCTTTTGAAAAACCTTCCCTCTTAATCTGAGGCATGATAGATGACCTTATAATTAATACAGGTCACTATGCTTTGCTAATCACACCGGTATTTGTATGCTGTGCAATATTTTTGTTGCGATCATGGGAGCAAAGGTTTAAGCATGGCGTTAAACATCAAAGAGTAAAATTGCTTGAGCAATGTATACACCTCCAGTTGTTAATGCCAGCAGGGAGTTAGTATATCCTTGCATGTCTTTGTGTATGAATTTTTAGTATGTTGTAACTTGCTGCATCTTGGGGGAAATAAAAGAAATCTGGACCTCATTTAGTTTCAGTTCTGTATGAATTGTGGCCAGTGTGAAAAAGTTCAGAAATAGGAGTGTAATTAAATTCATTAGCTTTGTAGAAGCAGATTAATATATCTTGTTTGTCTAGTGTGGAATGGAAATGCTTTGTGCTCTAAGGAGTAAATATGTTTGTTTATAGTCTCAGGTTTATCTTTAAAAAATATTTTAAACCTTGCTTACCAAGAGTCAAAAGTCAGTGCAAACTTGGACAAATAGACCCATCACAGAGGTGTTTTCCTGTGCAGTACATGAGAAATTCATCCACAGGTGTCAATTCAACTTTAAAATTGTCAGTTCTGTTCAAGAAAGCCTCAAAATTAATGAAAACCAAAATCTGGTATTTAAGTGCACTTTGTACTAACCTCCTTGAGTTTTTCTCTTAGTCATTTTTGGGGGACAGGAGGACTGATGAGTCACCCTAGAATCAGCGAGACTAGAATAGAGAGACTGCAAGTATTTCCCAGAAGAGTTCTTTCTTGGAAATTTGGGGTGAGAGTGAGCTAAAATAGCCAGACTTAGAGAAATCTGCCCTTTCATCAGTTATTTTCCCTCACTGTGCCTGGGTGTTTCTTTCAAGTACAGGAAAGAAAAAGATTTTGTTGTTGTTCCTTGTGTAGGCCTTTATTCAGCCACTAATGTTACTGTCAGTATTGGTGGTGGTGTTTGACTTCAGCTATTTGGAATGATGCTGGATCTCTTTTAAAATGAGAATGTGTAATACTCGTGGTAGTTTTTTTAACCATCTTCCCACTTCATAAGCTTCGCATTGAAACACCAAATACAAAAATATTAAGTGTTTTCTTGCAGTGATACTGACAAATCACGTGCACAAATTCTGTTTCAGATGCTAAAGCACATCATTTTGCTCTGTTGTTGCCCATTTAGAACCCTATGGGGGGAGTGAGTGCTATTAACCAATGATTATGTATGCACAGTTGTTATTCCTTGTATTTGGTGCATCATTACTGGTTCACTGGATTTATGGATTCATACAGAAGAAAGAGGGATCCTAGCTCATTTTTTCTTTTTTTTTTTTTTTTTCCTTCACTTTACAAAACTTAAGTATTTGTGATGTTGATATCTGACCAATAGCAAATGAGCTGATACAATCAACTGTTTAGAGACCATCACTGGCAAATACTGGTTGCAAACTATTGTGTGCTGGATCTGGATCAGTGATAGAACAACAATCAAATGACAGTTCTTCAACGTTCTTATGGATAAGATTGTGAACAGGTAAGAGAGATTCAGCACTGGAAGTATTGATCAGTGTTGTGTTTTTTTTCTTCATAATGAGCATGTGATTTATATAGTGGAAGCTCACAAAAATAAATTGTATTTTTTAAAGGCAGATTATTTTTAGATAATACAACTATTAATTTTTCGTGTTTTGCCCCTCCACACACATGCACAACTGTATTTTTTTTTAATATTTTTAAAAGATTAGAAAGATAATCAATTAGAGTTGTTTAAAAAATAGTTTATCTGAGATTTCTGGAATGGCCAAAAGAAGTGGCATTTCCATCTCCCATTAGAGTGAGTCACACGTATGACTTACTCAAACTCTTTTGAAAGTCCTGGCTGTATGTACCTGGGAAATGCTTTCATATGGGAGGGAGGGTATCTACAGCCTTGTTAGTGTCAGCTGTTTTTGAAAGCTCTGTGCATCTGAAAATGAGTCCAAGTGGCCTCATTTTGAGGACTATTGCAAATACATTCTGTCTCATTTACACTGTGGTATGTAAGTGTATGAAAAATCCACTGCAGTCCACTGAACTCCATGGAAAATACAACTCACTAAGATAGGTGTAGATAAAGAGAGATTTTGCCCTAGGAACTTGAATTTGGTTTGCTCTTTCAGTGGGTAGTGGAACCCATTCTATGGGTTTAGTTGAACTCAGCTCTTACACATTTTCTGGGGAAAGTCAAGTAAGGGTATAGATTTCTTTTTTTTCATTTCAATAGCATTGGGAAAAAATGCTTGTAAGCGAACTCATATACGTAATGCATGGACACAATATGTGACGTTGTTAATTTTGACTTCCAAAATGTGTAACTAAGGGCGGAAACTGCTTTAAAAATGTTAACCAGGTCTTAGCATCTTACAGTGTATTAGTATTTGAAGCCATATTGGCTTTTGTTTTACAGAATGGTTTACACAAAACTGTGCAGTGTAGTAACTGGACTTCTTTTAAGGATTAAGATTTATCTTCAGATTGCTCATTTAATCTTTCTCTGTTTAGGTAATGGGGATCAGAGAAGGATAGAATTTGCATAGTTGGTGGCAGTGGAAATTGAGCATAGCACCCCAGTTATTTTGTTAATCACAAGGGTGGTTTTTCTTTCTTGTTTTGAATTTTCATTTAAATTTTTAGTATGATAAAATACAAATGTCACATGAAGAAAAAGGTGGCCTGTGGCTTAACTATATGAGTTAACCACTTTGCATACAGAAGGTTGGATTTTTTTCTCTGTGTGGTTGTGTCTTTGACATTTGTGAGCATGGAGAGTGCTGGGGGAACCCTTAAAACCCCATTAATTATTCAGAGTGGAATCACTTTAAATTATACTAATAACTAAGACAATCAATCCATTCCTGGATTTGAAGATAACTAATGTGTAAATATATTGTAAATATTTACTTTATTTTGTCTTCATTTAAGGCAAAGTGCCTACTTGATAACATTGTTTTTATATGTGGTTTGCTTGTTGGTGTTTTTATCATCTTGGCTACAATGTGTGGTTACACTACCTCTTAGCTGTCAAAACACTTCCTGAAAATGTCTTAAGACTTCAGTGCAGAAAAGGTAATGGTGGGCAGAAGGGTGGTGGGTTGTTGGAAACGGGTCAGAGCTTTAGACTTGTATTGCAGTGGAATTTAACTCTTATTTCCAGAAGCAGTTGAAATACTTACACTCATCAGCAAGCTGATGACTTTTGTTTCACTTCCTATGGAATTTACAGGCTTGAATTAAGGTAATTTTACTTTAAAAAGGACTTCCATTTTTTCTTACCAGCATGACCTACCAACTACTTTTTGTTCTGTAATGAACAGCTGGGAGAACCCCTTGAGAACCAAAGGTCTGTATAGACTAAGTTGGCCTTTTAGTTGTAAGTAAAGGCTGTCAGATAGGAGAGTTAGTAGTGATCTTGTGTAGATTACTGATTTTAGAGACTTCTAATTCTCTTCCACAGAACTACTTCTGTAAAAATGCATCCAGTTGTGACTGAACACCAGATAAGTGCTGTGGTAGACATGGACTTCGTGTCATGTTGGCTTTCTGTTTAAAAGACAGAAGGCTGGCACTTCTAAAGGGACAGTGACAAAGTGATGACCAAGTGCCAAGTTCCAGCTGTCCTTATTCACCAAATTGTAGAAGAATTGGATAAAGAAGAAGGTGAGATAATGGTTTTCCTTTGCCGAGACCTTGTTCCTGACTTGGCTACTGCTGACCTGAGAGAGCTTTTGATGGCTTTGAATGAGAGGGAGAAACTCTCTCTTCCTGGATTGTCTGAGCTGCTGTACAGAGTTAAGAGGTTTGATTTGCTGAGAAGGATCTTGAAGACTGAAAAAATAACAGTGGAATTTAACCTTGCCAGGAGTCCCAGACTTGTCCCTGATTACAGGTATCTATTTCAGATTATAAAGCTACTGTTATTTTCAAAATTCATGCGTTTGTGTGTTTGTGCACTTCTTGGTTTGCTTGTTTTACTATGTCTTGAAGGTAAAAGAAAAGCAGACATGCACATCATACAAGAGTTAAAATGAAAAGATTGTCTAGTTTAATCCCTAAAGTAAGCCTTAGTAATTTGTTAAAAGTAATGGCATTATAAGCATCTATCTTTATGCAATTTGTATATGTCAATCAATTAAAATCATAATGTTTGTATAGTTCTAGATTAGTAGAATGTGGGAAAAGTTGGGCGGTTAGACAAAGGTAGAATTTTCCTGAAAGCTAAACCTTTAATAATGCCTCAACTTTATTTCAGGGTACTAATGGTAGAGATTAATGAGAATCTGGAAAAAGAAGAAGTAGGTTCTCTTGTTTTTCTACTCAGAGATTATGCACCTCGTATGAAATTGGCAAAAGATAAGGTAACATCTTTCTTCTACTCTTCTTTTCTTAAGCAATAAGAAATTGAAGTAAAAAGCAAGGTAGCTAGGAGAGGAGACCGTACTACAAGGGGTAGTGAGGCAGGAGTAGATAGAGGTCAAGTGTGGAAGGAGTAGTTGCTTTTATTTCATTCCTTTTTTTTTTTTTTTTTTTTTTAATGCAAGAAAAGAAGCTAAAGAAATGGAGAGAACAGTAAAGAGTTTCTGTAGTGAATGGTGTTAGTGTGAACCTCACAGGCAGAAGGCAAAAATAAAAACCTTTCTTCAGTGTTACTGATCTGAAAGTTCAAATATGTAGAATTTCAAACCAATAATAGTATTAAATATATCTTAATTTATGACAGCAGTTACTATGTTTGTGCTCTCCTGTTCTGTTTCATTTACAAAAGAATAATTTTAATTTAATAATATTGTCATTCTTTAGATGCTTGTACTTACAATATTTGTTCTGAGTGCCCTGAGAAAGCACAGATTCAGTAGAGAAGATTCAGAAAGCTTGACCACTGTGCACAGAACACAGAAGGCTTCTGTCATCTTTTTTTGAGGGTGGTTTATTTTGTTTGGTTTGTCAGTTGGTTAGTTTTTACCAAAGAAGGAGAGAATACCTGCAAATTCCCCAAAGCTTTTCTTACCTATTACTTTGTGGCATATGAGGTGATGTTCCGTGTGTCTGCCTACATAGTAACAAGGAAATGTGAAACTGTTCACCCAAAAACTTAGATTTGCTTTTAATAATGTCACTTTTTAATTTTATCACTCCTGTGATAATACTAAGAATTATTGATATTTTTTCCAGATAATCCCTTCTTAGTATTTAAGCAGTAACGTGCCTAGCTCCTGAATATTACAACTTTTACCACCTGCCCACATTATTTTCTGGATTTCTTTTTGGTAATAGAAAACAAATTACTGAGATACATTAGGGCTTGGGAGAATGGCATGAAGCTGTGTCAGAGCAGGTTCAGGTTAGATATTCGCAAAAGGTTCTTCACCGCCTAGTCAGGTGCTGGAACAAGCTCCCCAGGGAAGTGATCACAGTACTAAGCCTGTTGGCATTCAAGAAGTGTTTGGACAACTTTCTCAGAAGTAGTTTGATTTCTGGTTGGTCCTCTGTGGAGTCAGGAGTTGGACTTTATACTCTTTGTGGGTCCCTTCCAATTCAGGATATTCTATGACAACAGTTTGTTTTTCTGTTGCTGTTACAGAGTTTTTTAGCTCTAGTGATCGACTTAGAGAAACTAAATTTGGTGGCTCCTAATCAGCTGGATCTGATAGAAGAGTGTTTCCAAAGTATTCATAGGATAGACCTGATTAAGAAGATAAAGAAGTACAAACAAGAAGGTAAAATGGTATTTTTGCACTGGTTAGTCTTGGTAATAAGGATCAGATGTGCTCTTACTAAAGATGAAATTACAAGTCAGAGTATTTGCATGCAAGGGTTTAGGCTTTTCAAACAGTTTATATATCACAGCGTATTTCTCTGTGTCTTTCTGTTAAATTTTCAGCTTTTATGTCCTCCGTTCCTTCTCAGCCAGTATATGTAAATGCACTTCAGGCATCTCTCCCTAATCTCAGTCTGATTGATCCTCCTTACAATTCAGAGGTAAGTATACAACAAATCATGCAGATCCTTTATTTCTAAGTATTGCAAGACATTGAAAGGGGATTCATCTTTGCAGAGCCTAAGGAATGACAGATTGCTAGTGACAAGAACATTATTTCCTTTATGTCTCTGGTTCCTGTTGTTTGCTGGGTCTAAGGCCTGATTTAGATTTTCTGACACTGGGAAAGATCTCTTTTAGGAAGCCTTTGTGAAATTTTTCCTATTAGTTTGGAATATGAAATATGTATCTTAAAAGCTTTTTCTACTACTTTGGGGTTTTGCTTTGACTGTTCTTTGCAGAACACAGTATTCTTCTTCATAACTGTGGACTTTGCAAAATCCAGGGAAAGTAGCTTTTAAACTTTGTTAGCAGAAGGTTATAGCTTACTTTTTAATGAGAGCTTTTCAGATGTTGTGTTTGTTTGTTTTAATCTAATTTTAACCAAAGTCCGTCAACATACCAAAAGTCATCCACCCAATTACTTTGAATCAAATCCTATTGTGTGCAGTACTTTTTATGTTTGGGTTAGATCTGATGTTGTAATAACGTGACCTTTCTTGCAGTCTTTAGCCTTGCATAGAAATGTTTTCTGAAATACATCTCATAAATATATATATGTATAAAGCTTAAATACAAAACGATATTGATGCTATTTATTTTTACTAACAAAGAACAGCATTGTTTTCCAAACTGATGGGAAAGAGTATACATTGACTTTCCATATTGTGATAATACTATTTTAATTTCCTCTTGATTTTGGTGAAAGTTCCTCCTTGCTGCTATATAGGAAACAAAATTCATATCTTCAGACTTTTTGTTATTATTATTTATTATACTACTGTAGGGAATAAACTTCCTTTGCTGTTCCTAGAAAACTGGTAACTTTTTAAAGACAAAGGGTTTTTGATTCGTTTTCTTTCCTTTTTTTTTTAATTGTTGTTTTGTAATTCTAAATAGCAGATAGATTTGAACACGAAATATGTAATTCTTTTATTGAGGAAGATAAATATTACTATGTTATGCTTTTGGAAGATATAACTATTTGTTCTTGAAAGACGATGAAAATACACCACTTTCTTCATTTTAGATCCAGAACGTGAACAAGGAAAAATCACAAAATGGACAAAGCTTTTTTCAAGGTAAGAGCATCTTACCTACTCTTTGCTAATCTAAAAGAGAGAGTTAATTTCATTTATTGAAAGAATGGTGTTTTTTTGATAGCTGTGACTAAACCAGTTGATGTTACCAGGAACAGAAGATATTTTGTACCTCTACAAACTGGGCCTTGTCTTATTATTTGTTCTTGTATTTGTTTTGCTTGTGCTGCCAGATTTTAAAACTTCCTCAGAATTGTTGATGCTGTCCACCTCCACAACTTTTTAACTGAATAAATAGTTTATTAATAAAGTTATGGAAGAGGTTGTCTGGCCAACTCTGGAAGCCAGTGTAGTGCATCTGTGTTCATTAAGTTTTGACAAAGCCAGGAAGTTGTCCAGCAAATACCGTGTGTGTGTTGACTTTTAAAAGAACAGCTGACTGACTTCTCAGCATAAGAGAGAGATAGTGTGTTTGTTTGCTTGGTTTGTTTTTTTCCTCCTAGTCACAAGTAATGTAGAACGCAATCCAAGTAACGTGTAAGAAGTGAAAATTTTTGTTACTTTATCAACATCAGTACCATACACAGAAACTGAGGTCTAGATGAAAGAGAACTTGACCAAACTAGATAGGCTTCTTTTTAACTGATCTGCTGTCAAAGAAATATTACCATTAACTATACATTGAGATTACTTCTGTGTGTTTTAACCACAGAAGAACCAGTCCACATGTCCATTCAAGAATCAGGACCAGCGTCTCATAAGGTAAGTGCTTATGCATATGTATGTATGAAAATGTAATAAAAACCTCTGTAGGTGTTTACCTGAGTTCTCTTTAGGTTTCATTTCCTATATTTCCTGTAACTGCATGTAACAAGAACAGTGTGTACATCCATATCTTCCTTGGTGATAAAGAGGTTCTTTGAATAGCTTTTGCAGAAGATAGTTTTAATACAAAATACTTGCTGACACAAGATAATACTGCAAGCAACAGTGTGAAAAAAGCATGTGCACAAAGAACTGCATATTCATGAGCAGAGACTAAGTCAAAACCTGTTTGAAATCAGACCTCTTGCATTAGAAATTACAGGGCTTCTTTCTGCATGGTCAGTATTGTTCTTTAATTCTCTTTTACGCCCTTGCTCTCCAGATAGGAGAAAGATGTGCTTTGTGTATTAGTAGTAAGGATAGTAAAAATAGTAGTGTTTTTTGCTAGCTTTGCTGTATGTCAGGAGCAGGGAGTTACCTACAGCAAATTGTCCATCTCTTTGAGGAGAGATGGATTGTGTAGAGTCATTGCAGGTTTTTGAGGAATGAGGAGGCTTCATGCTTAATAAAATTAAACTAATACACTAATAATATACTAATAATACACTAAAAATATACTAATAATAATACACTAATAATTACACTAATAAAATAAGGAAATTGTTTCTCTGATGATTAATGGCTGTTGTACACTTGAAGAACACAGAAATTCTCTACATTTGTCACTTCGAAGAATACAGAAGTTAAGCCTGTACATGAAATACAGAAAAAACATGAATCTGTGTCTCCTGAATTTTTGTTGCATAGGTAAAACATTAAATTCCAGTAGGTAAGCTTCTGCTAGGTACTCTGTGGAAAATTTACAAAATGTGATTGAATAGGTTGGAAGTGGTTAAATTTGACAAAAGAATCAAGTCTGTAACTTGAGGGAGCGACATAATAACTTGGTATTTGTCTTTCACTTTCCTCAGGTGTTCAATGATCAGTACAGAATGCAAAGTCAACCTTTAGGAATATGCCTGATCATAGATTGTATTGGTAATGACACAGGTAAGTCTCTGGAAATTGAAGTTCCTTATCCTATTATTCTCAGATAATTGTAACAATTTAGTACAAAGAATATGATGTCTGTTTTCCAGCCAGACAAGAGCAATGTTGTCTAAGATAGCTAATCTGTCAATTACAGTAAGTCTTCTAAAGCGGAGAGTTGGAAGGCCCAACCTGAGAATATCTAAATGAAAGAACTTATAAGGAGATAGAAAGGGGGGAAAAATGATATCCAGAGAGACAAATAGAATACTTAAGCTACAGTCATACAGCAGGTTAGTGGCAGAGATTATGAAGATTATGTTTCCTACCATTCAGCGAAACAAAACTGTTACTGACTTGAAGAGTAATCATATTAAACACCATAGATTTCGAATAGCTGAAGGCACGTGCTTCTTTATTAATAATGCACCTACTCCTTGGTTACATCTTGCACTGTTTACCTGAAACTGTTATCATAGTTTTAGAGGGGAGGGAAATCTGTGTGTTTTTTTTTTTTCTTTCCTCCCAAATCAGTTTAGGGAGAAAAAAAGGGGAAAAAAAACGCATCTAGAATTCAAGGTAGTCAGTGCTGTGGTTAAAAATGAATTTTTCTGATCTCCTTTGAAGAATCCAAAAATAAGATCCTCGCATAAGCAAAAAACAACTATACCTTTCCCACATCCCCACCCTCCTGAAAAAGCTCCCTCTCTAGGTCACTGGAACACAGTGAAGCCAGAAATAAAAATTTTGAGAATGTTTGCAGATTTTTTTTAATAGGTTAGGCTAGGAGATGTAGGGGAGGAGGGTTTGTGGGCATATCTTTTCACTTTCTTAACTAATTTTCCAAGCAGACAGACCAATTGCTATTATTGATGCAGTTATTGAAGAGAAGGGGGTGCAGAACACAAAGTAAAATTTTACTGTCTGCTTGATAATAGTATTTTAGGTAAATTATTTAAAATAATAGACTTAGTTTGCCCATAGAATATCAGGAGCTAAACAGATTCACAATCCTGCCACGCATGGAGACAAGGGAAGGCACCGAATCCACTTACATGCAACTGGGAAACATCCTTTGAGATCTGTTTTTCTGTCTAAGTTTGTAAATTACCTCTTTTGCAAAAGGGGGGAGGGGAGAACAAAATGTGTAGAAACTAAATTGTTCAATCTAATATACTTCTTCACTTCTACTCTCAAAAAAAAAACAACGAATTATGCTGACTTTTCCCCAAGTGGAAAAGAAAAGAAAAGAAAAAAAGAAAGCATTTCATTTCTTGCCAAGGAATGAAATACTGGGTTGGGATTCTTGAGATCAAAAATTTTGCTCTGTCCTATTGCCTGCTTCTGTTCTTCTCCCCTCTTCTCACTTTCATGGTAGCTTTAGTGAATAGAACTTTTGATTCAAAAAACTTACGCAGCCTTAATCTGGAAGGCAGCATCGTATAGTCTGGTCCAGTACAAAAATAATTACTTAGAGTTCTTTTTCTTAAAAGTCAATGCAAAAAAAAAAAAAAAAAAGTACTGCTTGAGAAGTGTTACTGTAGGGAGCTTAAGAAGACATAGGAAATTTAAAAATTGCTTTGTTTGGAAAATCACCTCTTTAAATTTCTCTAATGGGATGTGAGCATGTGCTGAGCTGAGTTACTTAATATTTCATTATGCCAGTCTTGAGTTTTTAAATGAAGCAACATAGAAGTAGACAGGGCACATGCACTTCAGAAAACAGGAAGTAAAGAAAGAACTATGTCAGTTCACAGTCAGACAAACGAATTTAGGTTTCCTCTTCCTCTGAAGACACAGACTTTTGTCATGTGCAGTGTACTGTGTAGACTCCTTTGCAGTAATTGCTATAAAATAGAAAAATGCTCATGAATTAGAAATAAAATGTGCTGTTCTTGTGCTTGTATAGGCGCTTTAGTACTTGCTCAAGTAAAGGAAGTAATAAATGTGAAGGAGGAAGATCCTGCTGACTGGAAATGATAAAAATAGGCCACGAGTTCAGCATCTGGCATGCTAAGTTTACCTTTAAATCATGGCTTTGCTGCTGTTGTCCCAAAACTACTCAAACCAAGTCTTGACATGCCTCAGTCTCCATACATGTCTGCATTGCATGCAGAAGGAATTAAGCCTCTGCATGTTCATGTCTCAGATTTTAAATGTTGCCAATCCATCATCAGCATTTTAACATGGTAGAAAGCAAGACTTCACTGAAATACATTACTGTTCTAGTAAGATTCAGGTGAGGTACAAGGTGTGACATTGTTTAAAGGAATTTCTAGAAATGTATTAACTACTTGAGATTTCTGGAGTCACTTCTGAAGTCTGAAAATACCAAAGAGAGAGAAGAGGGCAAGGAGAAAGTTTGGAATTGTATCTTTGTTGTGCATTGGATTCTGTAGCTATCGCAGGATTTAATATGAGGAAGCTAAACTAATGATAAATGATGTAGGAACAAGGATCACAAACTTGAAAATGCTCAGTACGAGCAATGTGAATTCATCAGATATTGATAAAAGTTGAAACCAAAATACTCCTTTGCTGTTTTTCAAATGGTTATTGGCTGCTCTTTTCATTTCCATTTAGAAAATAGTTTTTATCCTTATGTTATAAACAAAAGGAGAGAAGGTTATTTTTTTTACATAGATTGGGGAAAATCCTCAAAAGTTGCTGGTGGTTTGTTGGGGAATGATTGTTGATCTAGGGGTGCTGCTACATGTAATCCCTTGTTTTCTCTCATCTCAAGGTAAAACTGCTGTATCTCAAATTTTTACCGTGTATAACTTCTGATTCATTGTTAAACAAAGATAGCAGCTCTAACAGTTTCTTGGGTGTATTATTTTTAATTATGACACAGTGTATGTGTGATCTAAAGTTATATACCAAGGCTTGTATCTTTCTCAGTTTACATGAGCACTAGCGAGGTACCTGAATCCGAGGAAGAGCACTCTTGTTTTGCCTGTGTATTACTGCCCTCTAATGGATTTAAGTGTTTCATCAGGTATATAACTCCTAAACGGTACTGAGTTACTTCAGGGTAGATACCTTTGCAATTGATCTGTCTTCCACCTGAATTTTCAGAGTGTTTTGTTTTGTTTAAAGTGTATTTTCCTTTCAACTTCAAAAATATCCCAGACGTTTATTTGGATTTGGAAGTATTTTACAAACATTTTGTCAAACTAACAGAACTGGAACAAAACCCAGTGGTTCCTGTTCTTTACCTTGCTATAATGCAGAGTTTGTACCTAGCCTGTATTTTACCGAGGTAAGTTAGGACATGTGTTCTATGTTTTCACTGTGTGTTTCTTGAGGAGAACAGTGTGGTAGTGTAATTCCTGCTTTGCTGCCAGTTACTTCTGAAATAGCCTTTGCTAATTAGGGATCATTAAACATTTGAAGTCAAGGAACAGTCTAGTTTCTCATGCCTGTAAGGCATTTTGCATAAAAGTGGTACTTCTTATTTCCTGTCATTATTATCAGAAACACTGTATAGGCAATGTATACATGGTTTATATTAAAGATACGATGCTACAGTTATAAGTCATAGTAGTAACTTGTGGTTCTCTGACTGCATAGCTAGATACATGTGGTTTTAACCAACTTGCATCTGGTTTCACTCCCATATTAATAAATATCCAAAGTAGTTATTCAAAGCATATTATACTTTCCTGCAGCAAAAGTTTAACACAGTTTTAACATAGATTTAATCTTGTTCTTTTTTGGCTGCCTACAGTTTTAATTTCTAGCATATTTTAAAGAGTTCATAGTTGAGCATTTTATTCCTGAAAATGCTATTCTGTCACTGTAACAGACTTGTTACAGTTTTCCATCTGGAACTCATGACTTTTAATTTGATTTTATATAACAGTAAGCATAAGTGACTGCAGAAGGTTACTTTTTGACTGATGAAGGGGAGCCTCTGTTCTTTTTAATCTAGTTCTGTATATTTGTAATAACCATTCAGAGTAATTTTGGAGAGTTAAAAAGGTGAAACAAACTTCCCACGCTATACAGTGCACTCCTTATGATTTCAAGAATGTTCTGTGTGAAGCATGTTCTAATGTCTTCTCTTGCTTGATATTCTAAATTCTAGGAACCTGGGATATTAGCTCTTAATGAAAACACACAAAACTCTGTGGAATTAGGAACAAATTACACACTACATAATAGTGTGTTTGCTGTCAGGATGTGCATAACTCATGTTAAAGACAACATGCATATAGCACTGTGTATGTAATGTACTGTGCAATCAGCATCAAGTACTCCTGATTTTTGAATTATTGTGATGAAATAAACATCCTATTTCCAATACTGAAATACTGTAAATACTGTAATTCTTCTGGATAGTTGCAACTGAGCCTTGGTATGCTGTGACTTAATCACATCTTGCTTTTTTCAGATGTGCTGGAAGAGACCTTCAGAGGCTTAGGCTATGACGTTCATTGCCACAGACATTTAGATATGGATGCCATGAATGAAACGTTGCTTGAAGCTGCAGGGTTACAGAAGCACAGGAATTGTGACAGCTTCGTTTGCATATTGGTCAGCCGTGGAAGTCCTCAGAGCATTTTCTGTACAGACCAGACTTCTACTGGATTCCCTTTGGAACAAATAAAGAAATACTTTATGGCAGATTCATGTCCTGAACTCCGAGGAAAACCAAAGCTCTTCTTTATTCAGAGCTATATTGTTCCTGAAAATGAGCAAGAATGTACTAGTCTGTTGGAAATAGATGGAAATGATGATAAAATGATTGCTAATGCAAAAATCCCTTTGAAAGGCACAATTCCCCAAGTAGCAGACGTCTTTTGGAGTCAGTGCAAGGTGGATGTGTCTACAATAGAAAAATCTCCAACTTCGTCCTCATATTATCTGCGTTGTCTGGCTGAGCTACTCCGTAATCCTCATAAAAGGTAAATAAAACATAGTAAAAAAACTTTTTCTAGGGCATCCTACTGTCCTAGAGAAAGAGATATGTTAAATTTAATCCTTTCTGGTCTTGCAAAATGCCTTTGTGATGTGTCATGTGTTAAAGGACAAGTGTACCTGGTCCTGGAACAATGTCACAGGAATGTAGTCTAGAGTGGGAGTGAAGTTTCTGATTCTGGAGGGTAAAATAAGTGTGTTATGGCATGAAGGCTTGTAGAGTGAGAAGGGAAGAACCTGTCCTGGTATATCATTACTCTAGTGTTTAGTGCTTTAGGCAGGATTTGAAATCTTCCTTTTCCAAAATATGAGGTGCACACCACGCTTCTGTCAAGTTGAGAATTGCTTCTTAAATCATTAAGAATGATTTGCTTGCAAATTAAGAAGTCAGTGTTTGTTTGTTCAGGAAAAAGGCAGTTGAGAGGGGAGGATTTTGTCCTTTGTTTCGATACAATTCACCCATGCTTTAGGAAACCACAAGATTGCCAATTTATAATCTTGAATTAAAACTATCAGAAGACATTAGTCTATCTAAAGAGGTTATCAAAAGAGATCTGAGCAAAAATCAGATATGCTTAGATAAATAACTTTAGCAACAGTGATTTTCTTTGTATAACTGACTTAACGGGGAGCTAGCAACTGCTTTTCAATGTAGTTGCAGGTTAAGATTTAGATCTTCTCACAAACCCTTGTAGGGAAATCACAGATGATCATGATGTCAGCATAACCATTGTCACAGTGGTGATTTGGTATACAACAGATTTCCAAAGTGCATATTCAGCTTTGTATTTTAAAGGTGTAATATCTGCAATAAAGAAACTTTCTCCTTGCCGAGTCTATAGTTATCTTCTACCTTGTGGATTCTTAAAAAGTATCTTGCTTCCTTGTCTAATAAAAAGCTTTTACTTTTGTTGCTGCAGGAAACAGTCTATATTGGATATCCATACGGAACTGAACAGAAAAGTCTATGAATGGAATAAGACCATGGACCCAAGCCAACAATACTCACTTCTGCTCCAGCACACACTGAGGAAAAAACTTTTTCTTTCTCCCACTTAACCGCTATTGGAAAGAATATGTTTGAAGTAGCTGAGAAACGCTTACCGTGATCCACATTCACCCTTACATTAATTGCATATGTATCTGAAGTGCCTGTTGCTTCTAAACCCAGTGATTTAGAAGCATTTTGGGTTGTTAAGGCACTAAATTTTATATTTTAATACAAAGGCCTCTGAAAGATTGGATAATAATGGCAGCTATTGCATAGACCAGCAACAGACCGTACAACCAAGTGCAACAGGTAAACAGTGTATAAAGAGCTCTAAACTGTATGTTTTCTAGGGGTTTTATTGTTTATATTGTTTATATTTTAGCATACCTCATATCAGTGCAATCTAGGCTCATATTTTGTTGCTTAAAACAACCAAGCCCGTGCAAAACATTGAAATTCAGCATACAAACTGTTAAAAATTGACCAGGTACTTATTCCCAGCACTTAATAATGAAAAATGTGACAGGAGAGGATGCCTACCCAGCAACACCAGTTCTTTGGTAACAAGTTCTGACTTGTGTGCCTCCACAGACTTCAGCAAAACATAAGGAAGAGAGAGGTGGTCTTTTAATTTGGATTCTATCTGTCTGGTGTATTAGAAGCTGTGATTCACCCATAACCCTGTGTCATCACTACTGTCCACAGCATACAAGAGTTGTATGTTAATAAAAAAGACGGTCTGACAGGATTTGTGCCATTTTCCACTGATGCAAAATGAGTCTACATTTGGCAGTGTTTTATGGTTGTCTGTGCAGTTAAAAAAAAAAAAAAAAAAGTGGGATTGTGGCAGATGCTGTGTAGAAGCTGAACCATATTTCACATATGTGGCACCAGGCATAGTTGTAAAAGTACACTGGTTATTTACATTTGAACCAAAACGTAGTAACCACTGCCTTAGGTTTACCACTCCTTACACACATAATTTTTGCTTAGGGAAAAGGATATGCCGTCTTCAACTGATTCCTTTTTTCAAGTTGCCCTCATCCCTCTAGAAAAGGTAGGAGTGAAAATTGTAAAAAAATTTTTCTTCAGTGGAATAGATGCTTAACATTAAAAGTTCAGTTGACCTGAACTTTTTTTTTATATAGACAATTGAACTTCAGTTGTCTATATAACAGTAAAACCTGGATGTGTTGTGTTGAAGTCCATTGTGGATAAATCTATGGCATTTTCTTCCCTACTTAAATAGGCTAATTGCAAAGTTTTAATACTCTATAATAGTCTCCTATGCAGAAAAAATAAAATTCAAGGCTTTGGTATGCCTTCCTTGATTTCTAGTGTAATTACACCAGTATGTATGCTAGTTCCTTGAGCAAAAATATGGCAAAAAGGTTAATTTGCTAGTGCACCTGCATATTATTTGAGCAAAAAGTAGGTGTGCTTTTTATATATCACTTTACCAGCAATGTTTTTCATCATAGACCAGGTCTAAAAGATAGCTAGCAGTAGTGCATTGTTACTAATTACAGTAGCCAGTGGCCACTAAACTTACTCTGGTAGCAGTGACTTTTTTATTCCTCAATATTATGCTGTACTTCTGCATGTTGGCTTGATGCTGTTTTTAATATCTTATTTTTTAAAAAAACAATCTTCTTATATTTAATTCAGGAAAAAAAAATCAAAATAGTTTTCAGGTAGCTTCTATAATTGAAAATAAAAATCACTTTTATTTGGCAGAAGAGATATCTAAGTCTTGTAAGCACACAGGAGCCTTTTTCCTTGTTGTGTGATGTAGGCTCAGTTTCTTTCTGAGACTTGGTTTCCTAAACTGCTGGTTGATGAAGATTTTTAGAATGTACCAGGAAGAGAAACACACTGAATAGGCTTTACGTTACAATCTTTATTTAGCCATCTATACAAAACATTAAGATCACTATATGTATTTATTTATATTAATATATAATTTTGTATAATGTATATAAAGTATGTTTTATAACAATTAAATCTTAAGGTGGCGTCTTTTTTAATTTTGTGTTTTGTTTTATTTACATGTTAATTATAGAAAGTGAATTCACAGTTGTGATAATTTTTTGCACAAATCAGAAAAATACTCTGGCCGTATTACAAGCCTATGTGCACCATACTTTTCTCTTTCCCCTTCATAAGCTATAGTGTCCTTGTTAATTAAAGTATATGGAAACTTTTTAATAGCTTTGAATTGGGAATTGTAACCCAAAACTGTATCTGAAATTATGGGTATGTGTATTATTTGTTACTATAATTTTATGTAATTATAAGGCATAGGAGGAAAAATGATAGTAAATCAACTTTTTCAAAATCCAGAGATTCTCTAGAAGCTTGTTCTCTATAAGCATTAATGTAAAAAGTATTAAATCAAATTTCATGATGTTATAGATCTGGAAATAAACACATCATAGCAGTGATGGGAAAGGTCAATTCTTCCTTTCGGTTTCTAATTTGTAAGAAAGTGCCTGTTAAACTGGTTCTTTCCATACACTAATTCCATATTGCTTCTCTCTTTAATGATAGTTTGTGTCTTAAAACTATGTTCTTCTGTGTTACACACACACACAAGTAAAGAACTTACAGCTTGTATGTGATAAATAATAAAAATACATTTTTAACTGAATACTTTATAACTGACTAGCATACAATACTGTATAGCACAAGTATAATTTTGAAACTCTACCTTTGCTGATGTTTGTGAGGGTAAGAAAAGGATTATCAAATGACAGATCTGCTATCTTAAGAATTCCTGTAGTGGGTGGTAAATGAAGCAAATGGTATGAAACAAATACAGACTCTTCTGTGGCTGTAGAAATAAGGTGTGATTCTTAGTTGTCATCTATATGTATGTGATGTTAATAAACGAGATTCCTCTCAGAAATTATTTTCTCATTTTCCTTACTAGCCTTTACATGGTACAAGCACTTCTGCTGCCTTATAGACACCAGATGCAGGGAGAACGGAACCAAGAGGAGGCAGAGAGATAAGGGAAAGAAATACTGTAAGTTCAAGTAGAAACAAGAAGGGGAATGGTAGGGAGAACCAAGAGAAGGAAAAGTAGGGAAAAGAAGATTTGGAGGAGAAATACAGCATGAATATCAGAAGGAGAATGAAGATAACAGGAGAAAAGGGAGAAAGGAAGTACATGTAAGAATAATAGTGAATATCCTTGCAGGATTTGACTACTTTTTTCTTTATTTATGAGCGTTTGAGTGATGCTAAGCCTAACTACTAAATGCTGCTGAATTTACTACTTACTAAAATAGTAGCAATAGGATATATTCTGTTTCTGAGAGTTTTGTGACAATGTAGGTCTATGCTGGGGATAGAGGTGTACATGCTCTTCGTTTTCATGTATAACAAAGTAAAGTCCATATCTGCTTTCTTAGGAAATAGAGGAAGAAGTACTGTTTTGAAAACTGTAGAGACCCTTGTAAATAATCCTTGCAGTAAAAAATAAAAGGAGTCACTTTGCATTTGGCCACTCAGATCAGAAGCAGTCACAACTATTTAATGACCAAAAAGTCATGGGGATTTGTGTATCATGCAGCATTCATGGATGTCATACTGAATTTTTACTCTGGTGTCTTGACCTAAAGTAGCTTCTTAATCCATAGCAGTACTCATTCTGTAATCATTCATCTAAGTAGTATTTTATTGCCTTGACATCTCATTCAAGAGTGAAGACTGGGTAGTGAAAAGTAACATCAAAGTAATTACTTACATGCAGGAATTTTGTGATGTCATTTGTTGTCTGTCAGTTCTCCCATAGATTTTTGTGCTCCCCTATATATGTGGTAGGGACTTTTTGTTCTTTCTGCAATGTGCATCTAATATTCAAGTCTGGAAAATGAGTGGATGCAGGGCCTGGGTGGCATCAAGCTGTACGTGCATTGCAGATGGGTAGGTTGAATGAAATGTCAATTCATTAGCTAAAGAAAAAGGGGATAAATTAATTCTGTTTTTAAGCTGTTAGCATAGGACCATAAAAAGTGATAGACATGCTAGTGGAATTTCATGGTCATGGGCTACCAAAACATCTAGTTTCCTGAACCTGCTGTTGAACAAGGGAAAGCAAACCGTGCCACCTCTGCTTCTGCACTGTTTCTGTGTGGAACAACGCTGTCAGACTCACTGCTCCATGGCAGTTGCAGTTCCAATTTCTTGATAGCTGAGAAGGAAATTCCTTGTACTTCTGTGTGTGCTGTATATATGGAACGTAGAAAGGAGAATTGGTGAATATAGATGATGCTTTTCCATTGTTTCAAAAGATGTAATGATGAAATAGGAGATTTTTTGTTGTTTTACTCCGGACTTAAGTAGTAGCATGATTTTTCTCAGCTACCTACACTGATATGACTGAGCCATAAATGTAGTTTACTTTGTATTATTACATGAATTACAGTGTATGCCAACTCAGGTTTCAGAAAAAAAAAAAAGTTACATTTAAGAGGAAGTTAACACTGTTCACAGTTGAGGATGCAGCATACTGTATGTCTTATATTCCCTTTCAACTCTGTATGCAAAGTAACAGTGACCCCCCCATTACAGATATCCAAGTCAGAGAAGCTTTTTATGACACTTCCTGAGATTTTTTTCTGGTATCCATGGCTTTAAATTTCTGACATGCAGTATGGTGTTGCTGAGAAACTGCTGTGTGGATGATGATGTGTATTCTGTCTGCTGTCTATCTCATGTTCCATTTAAACTGTTATCTCCCGTACTGAATTACTTGACAGTTTTTGTCTCTGGTTAATACAGTATTATTTTTTTAAGCTTCTATGTTAATAAGACATTGGAAGCCTTTTAGGAATTTTTCATGGATTGTGTCTGTTTCTATGTATGCTGTATTTTTTAATTTGTATTACTCTGAGAGTGCATTTTCAGTTCTTAATGTGTAGAAAGAACTTAAGAAAGCTGGTCTGAACCAATGCCGTTACTCAAATAGGGTCACGATTTAGCAAAATTGACTGTTACTACTAAATTAAAAATGTTAGGTTTAGGTCTGATTTTCAGAACAAAATTCCTGCATCTTATTGAGCATCTCTGTCTCTCCAGACCAGAGTAACTCTTGAAATTTGTGGCTGCCTCATACGTAGACCTTCGTGGCTTGCTCAGTTTGGCTGTCCAATTGCTACAGTTCTGTAAAAAGGAGCTGGCTGCATCAAGGGTGGAGAATCTTAGCTTCAAGAAGTAATGCAGTGCTTGTCTGTGCACTCACAGCAGCCACATGCATGAGCAGCTCACACAGGGGCCTCATCCCACCCGGATGCGTTGACCTCGGGGTGTAGGGTGACGCTGGTGTCACAGGAGCCGCGGAAAGTCCTGAGAAGGCTGCACTGGGCAAGGCCCCTTCCCCTCCTCCCCTTAGTGCAGTGAGGCAGCGGCGGGGTCGGCGCAGCACACAGCCTACATTGAGGAAGCCTTTCCCCAAGCAAGAGTCTCAAGCTGCTGCTCAGTGAAGAAAAAAAAAAAAAAAGCTGCTGGCAGGGCCCTGGGCTGCGGCGCTTCGCCTGCGGCCTCCCGCCCCAAGGGCAGAGGAGGGGCGGGGAGAGCCGGGCCGCTGCCTGCGGGGCGCATGCGAGCAGGCCCCGGTGTTGCGCGGGGGGCGTGCTCCCAAGGGCTGTGTCCCCTTGCTCGACTTTGTCCCGGCGCTGCCGTTGCCTCCTGGCGGCCGCGAGGCGTAAGGCCCGGTGCCCTGCCCCGCCGAGGCGCGGCGCGGTGACTCAGCGCCTGGGCGCGGGCCGGGGCCGGGGCTGGGGCCGGGGCCGCGGCCGGCCGGGAAGTCGGGCGGGCAGCGCTGAGCACCGCGCACGGGGAGGGCAGCAGCCGGCAGAGGGGACGGGCGCGGGGGTTGTTTGAGAGGTAAGACAGGAGTGACCGAAATGGAACGAAAGAAGGCGCCTGCTTCCCGGTATTGTGCAGCTACCCCTGCGAGATGAATGCTCCCATTCTTTATGGGGCTGTGGGCTGACCCTGCGGTCCGTGATTTTGTACTCTTGTTAACTCCCGCAGTGCCCCAATCAGTAAAACGTTAGAGGAAAAAATAGTAACTTAATAATCTTCGTAGTTTATTTTATGTTATTTTCCTTCCCTCTAGGTATATCTCAAAGCATAAATTAGAGATGCAGATTTCCCACCTTTCTGTGTCGTTTCTTCCGCGCTTCTAGCTCTAGCCGAAAACAGTAGGGTGAGCCATAGCAAACCCTAGGGGTGGGGAGGTTCTGGCCCTGGCATGCCTTAGTGCTGGCTGTTTGACATCAGGGGGATTTTGTGTTTTGTTTTTAGTGGAATAGGGATTGCTTTTGTTTTCCTTCTTTGCTTTACAAGTTGCAACATTTTATATCTAACGTTTATTTGGGCCCCTTGCTACAAGAAGTACATGGAGGTGTTCAAAAGAGTCCAGAGAAGGGTGACGAAGCTGGTGAGGGGCCTGGAGAACAAGTCCTGCGAGGAGCGGCTGAGGGAGCTGGGCTTGTTCAGCCTGGAGAAAAGGAGGCTCAGGGGCGACCTTATTGCTCTCTATAGGTACCTTAAAGGAGGCTGTAGAGAGGTGGGGGTTGGCCTGTTCTCCCATGTGCCTGGTGACAGGACGAGGGGGAACGGGCTAAAGTTGCGCCAGGGGAGGTTTAGGTTAGATGTTAGGAAGAACTTCTTTACTGAGAGGGTTGTTAGACATTGGAACAGGCTGCCCAGGGAGGTGGTGGAGTCACCATCCCTGGAAGTCTTCAAAAGACGTTTAGATGTAGAACTTAGTGATATGGTTTAGTGGAGGACTTGTTAGTGTTAGGTCAGAGGTTGGACTCGATGATCTTGAGGTCTCTTCCAACCTAGACAATTCTGTATGATAAATGACTTATAAAATATATAAAGTGGTAGAGAGTTCTAAAAACACAGTGGCTCTAGACTGACCAATGGTTCAGGCAGTAAACTGATAGTATCTCATCTCATAGTGGTGCTAGAAGGGAGGGAGAGCCAGCCCAATCTGCCTTCAGTACAGAGGGGGGAAAAAATAGGTTATAGACAGCTGCTAAATGCAGCTCACATTAAGTGGTCTTGAGGATATTCAGAACTTAAAGCAGGAAAGATCTGGAGTGCAGAGTCGCTTCAAGAGTGACAGCAACACATACTTAAATAGTATTTTAAAGGTAGATTAACGAATTTGTTCTGGATCTTGCTTCAGTTCTGTTTGCTGATTGTGCATACGTCCTATACACCACTCAACTCTGTTCAACTAAAGCTATGATTTGTTAGTTTAGTTGAAATCATTGGTTCCAAATTCTGAATAGTTTGAACCTGGTGTGTATATATATATATACACACCATATATATATATTTATATATATAAATATATATGTTTGTTGGTTTAGGCAGGAATCAATTTAGCCTAAGTTATGCTGCTAAATTTAGTTGATTAAAGCATCTGGACAGGGTTTAGAAGTAGCTTTGCTAAATTGATTGAAGTCTGATTTACTGTGAAGTGTTACAGTTTCCGTGTATAGATAAATAAGATCCAAAACGTTTGGTGGCAGCTTGTTTCTTAAGTGAATAGGGTTTCACAACATAAGGGGCTTAATATGAGGAAAGAAGGAAAATGAAGAACACTTATTGAACCATGGGAGAGTAAGGTTGAATATAGGAAAAAGCAGTCTGAGCTTTTTTCTTTTTTACATGGGCTGTGACTTCTGGCAAGGGACAGGACAGCATGCAGGATTCCAGCCTTCTGTCAAACTTCTTGTCTGATATGTGATACAGTGCTTGTATTCTAGCTGGGTGCCAGGATTTGGGGATTATATTGTCTACCTGTCCCTGAACACAAAACTGAAACAATCTCTTCTCTGTGCCCCCAACATGGTACGATAGTGTTTGTGGTTTGCTGAG